GGGCGGGGCGGGGCAGACGGAATCGAAAGGATCTTTTTATTCTGTTATTTGCACAAGAACGTTACAAACCTTGTTGGCATTGAACGTGGTAATTCCCTTTGAACTTCGTCACTCGTATGTCAAGGTAAGTCGTAAGTCATGCCATTTACCTTCATTGGGCGGAGGCTCTTGATATAAATATGTTATTGCAGTCTTAGGAATATGATTGATAATCTCATTTTCTTAAGAATGCAATAATTACATTAACTTCTACATTCAGGTTAGGAACACAGATTGTTAAAAGAGCTGTCCGCCCTAAAGGTGTTACAATAAATATAAGAGGTTATAGACTTCCAAGATTTTTGTTAATTACTTTCACATGTACACCATAAAGAACACAATATACGTATTAAACTACAAGAACATAATACCACACACAATGAACACAACTATACACAATAAACCGTGTAGTACAGCTCAACCCAAAACGAAAATAAGCAAAGAATTTCCAATTGAAATGTATTCCAGTCTCTTCATAAAAATGATAATGAAAGGCAAAATAGAAAAATAAAATAATCATGAAATTAATTAATGAAGTATGTAAACAATTTACATCTCAGTTGTTTGGTAGAAGACTTTGGGTAAACGTGTTTTCATATGAAGCATTTACTTAATTTAACATGATTATGGTGTTTATTGCGTGTAGTTGTGTTTACTATTCGTCAAGGTACTTCTTTGTGCTTACCTTCCCCGCTTCAGCGTGCGCGAGTATTCTCCTTTCTGGATTTAGAGAGGAAATAGAGCGGAATCAGGGGAAGTTGCCAGGTTTGCAGGAGGGGCGAGCTTCACATCCAGTCAAGTAGCTCGTGTGGGCGCATTTTTGACTCGCCCGGCTTATGCGAAATGGTAAAATATCTTCAGAATTAGAGTAAGACGATAATATGTCTCAAACGATGCTCTTCGAGGAATACGAACAAAATTCTCGCCCTCGTCCGGAAATAAATGTGAATCTGGAATCGTTTTATTCGTGATCTTCATTTCCTCTACACGAATATTATCAAATATCATTCTTGACTAAAGTCTGTTCTGTTCCGGGGATACTAAAAACCCTCTGGAATTTCCTCTTTAGAATTAGGTCTGATTTCAAGAAACCTGTAATTTGAGAAGTGACTCAAAGGTGATATTACAATTTTGAAAAATGGAGAATATCGGTTAAAAGGCAACTATTCACCGGCTAAATATAAAACCTGTAAGCTGCTATTGTAAACAAAGAGAGAATCCACTCAATACGTATGTAAATTATCATGTATCATGAGTCGTTGCAATATTGATAATGAACTTTATTGTAGTTTGAGAATTACAAAACACTATCCGGCTGGGAAAAGAGAGCGTTGCGAAGAGCGTTCGATGTTTCTTCCAGTAATTTACGACTTCCGCCTAGAATTGCCAATAACTTAACTTATTTTTTAACCCAAAACACGCCTCCACATTTTACTTAGCGTTAGGCATCTGTTTTTTCGAAGTGTTTGATGACATTAGGTCATTTTTACACCTCCTGCCTTATAAAATGAACGTTATGAACAGTGGTATACATGTTTGAGGCTACGAACCCCGTTGAGAAGGACGCTCCCGAATTAGTTAAATTGTCCACACTGTCTGGCGAGACCCGGCGCAGACTTACGTCTACCTGCGGGGATTTTCCCCAACCAGTGGTCGGCTGCTCTGATCGGTAGTTTTCCGTGGTTTCTCTCATAAACACCAGTCGAATGCCGGGGCAGTATCTTCACAAACATGCCACGAACCGCACGCGATCTTTCCTTCCTCTTTCTAGTCCTTTACTTACCCCTACATGCACTACACTTCCACACATGCCGGAATACCGGTCGGGAGCTTAGCGCTTGTCCCGGCAGGGGCGGTGCCCCCCTGGTGGGAGATACCTGGTTGAGGGAAAACCCCGCTAGCCGACTGTGGGTCGGCGCCGGATCTCAACATCCAACAGGAGAAGTTCACCGCGGGAGCCTCATCCCTAGCAAAGACATGCACTACTCTTACGGGAATAATGACCTTGGTAGTGGACCCGCTCAGAATCACTAACAATGATTCAACCTAGTCCCTCCGGGTCAGACGCATTGCAGAAGATGCCTGGGGCCACTTCAGCCGATCTCTCGCTTCACGGAGCGAGGGTAAACAGCTGGGCGGCCGCGGCCGTTGGCGCGTCGCCCTCGTCCTCACGTGCGGGCCTTGGCAGCGCGCGGCCCCTCCCCCTCGGCCCTCGCTCTCGCTCACGTCAGACGGCCCCGCCCCTCCCCCGGCCGCCATTCCTTCCCTTCCCTTTCGAATACTTGCGACTTGTCAAAGCAAAGGAACGGCGACACGTTCTGTACGACTAGTTCTACCTCTTGAGTGATACGAGGGATCATTGCTATACGGCTGAGATGGCTCAACCGTTGCTGCTCTGTTATCTCTGGCCGGGAGTTCCTAGTATTCGCTTTAACGGTCGGTTGCTCTGATCGGCAGTTTTCAGTGGCGCCTCCTATCAATATCAGGCGAAAATCCCAATAGTAGTCCGGGAGAGATGGCTCAAGGCTTCGACCGATGTCCCTGCCGACCGGGAGGTCCTAGGTTCGGGGTCCCGACGGTGACAGGATTTTCGACTTCGGTCACTGCCTGGAGGAGAATTTTAACGGCCGGCAGCTCTGATAGGTAATTTTCCGTGATTTCCCCGATTATAACCAAGTGAATGCCGGAGCAGTTCCCTCACAAAAGTGTCACGGGTCGAGCGCAATCTTTCCTACCTCTTCCTTGTCCTGTCTTCACCTCTTACACTAACATGCATTACACTACCATACATGTCGGGAGACCGGATGGGAATTTGTCCCGGCTGGAGTGGTGCCCTGATGGTTGGAGATACCTGGTTAGGGAAACCACGCTAGCCGACGATTTGTTGACGCAATAGTTGACGCGCAGCAAACACGAAATACGTGATATAAATTACTCGCTCCCTTGCCGTAGGCGAGAAGGAAGGCTTTAAGCCGTCCTCCTCCCTGGGCAGGCGATCGCAGTGGTGGTTCGCCAACGTCTTCCACTCAATGAAAGATGGTGGGGGTAATCACAGGTGATGAATGGTGATGAGAGATGAATTACTGTTGGTGAGAGGAATGTTTAAATGCAATTCGTGATGGTATGGAAAATTGTAACACAATCGCGTTGTGAAAGTATCCGAGGCGAGTATCCAGAAGACAATGTTTTCGTATAAAGAATTTTCCGTTTACCCTCAATATAAAAGGTATTTTTAATTATCTTATATAATATTATAGCGTTAAAAATTGATGTATTAAATGACTTTCGTTAGAATATAAATATGAGTGGAAGTGTGAACAGTTCCAAACACTGCTGGCAGAATAATGTAGATTTAGGGAAAAATACCTCTGAAAAATGAAATGTTTGTTGAGAATTTGTTAAAGTAGATCTTAACTTCATGAAAAGAGTGATTATAGTAAATTTCGAGATTAATATATTCGTTTTAAGATAAAAAGGAATCGTAGAAAATTATTTTAACTTCATATAATACTAATATATCTTCCTATACGTGTACTGTGATGTTATGGATAATTCAAAATTTAATATGCCCGCCGTTTAACTGTTATTTCTAACGCAAATAGCGCCACTAGTATACGCGCGTATGACGCAACGTTGAGTAGCAGACACCGCGAATTCAGTTATGTTTTGAATGACATTCGTGCTGGTTGCGTTGGTTTGTGTGATGCGATTTTACGTCCGACAGGACGTAAAGCTGTGCTTCGAGGAATTGACTAATTCTATGAATCTTTTTTACTGGTAATCCATTTTATTTTTTTAAATCTTTTAAGTCTCTTGAATTTCTATTTTAAGATAGGTTTTTAGTTGTATTTGCGAATATGTTGATTACGAGTAGGGTTACCATATTTTGGAAAACAGGACAATTCATACGTTCATGGTTTAATGCAATAATTTATTTTTCATAAAAATAAAAGATTTACTACTGACGAAATAAATACATCAATCATTCTCATCACTTTCACAATCACACAATAAACCTACTTCATTATCATTGCTGTCTATTCCTCTTTTATACTAAATGTATTTGGTAGATGATGAAATCTCTCTCAACAATTAGATCTTTGCTTTGAAACTAGTAACCATATTGACTCTTCATACAGAATTGTAATTGTATATGTGATTCAATAAATATCATTAATAACAAACGCTTTGAACTTTTGTACGTATATCATTAAACAAGGTTTTTCTTTTTGGCTTCCTGCTCGAAATATAAATACCCCCAAGCAATATTTATTCCAAAGGCCAGAAGAACTGTATTATCACAGAGCATAAAATCTATAACAGCACCAGCATAATATGTTGTACCAGCTGATGGGAACACTGTCGCATTTCATGGAGTAATTAAATGACTAAATGTAGATGTTGTTTGTTTATGGATTTTGGCACTTGTTAGGTGAGAAAGTTGAAGTTCAATGTCATTTATACAACAATGAAATGTTGTATGATGTCGGACTCTCGAGAAAGGAGAAAAAAGCAGTAATCTTGACACATATACATCTAGGCTGCATTTAAAAAAATACCTGCTTCCTAATAAAAAGAGGGCATTTCGTCCTTTCTTACGAACAGTTTTTCTTACTTCAAAAAGAGGATGCATGGTAACCGTGATCATGAGTCTTGTACTATACAATGCCATTGAGGAAAATACTGTCTAATGTTCAGTGCGCCACTAAATTCCATTTAATTTTATTATGTTGGTTTTAGTTACAATTAGAGTATATCTTGTGACAAAATTATGGATGAAAAGTATTTTTCAGAAGTTCATTTCTTCAGTCATTGTTATATACAGAGTAATGCTACATGTAGGAAAATATATTTAAAGCAAGTGTGTATTTACTATCTCAGTTCTTTTTATGAAAATATAAAGATGATGCTTGTGAGAATAAGTTTCTTAGCATCAGCGGTAATGTTTGAACATTTCTTTTTGAAAAGTTGTATTGGACATACATTGTAATTTTAATATTTTTGGTACACATATTTTAATGAATTTTTGAAAGAACAACAAGTAATGAACATAATACTTTCTTTGTTCCAGGAGTATGCATTATCGTCTCAAAGCTCTCCTCTTCACTAGCAGTATTGCCATTCTTCGCCTGCAGGACGGGCGCAAACATCAAGCCACTCGTTGTTCAAAATATTCCTTTAACGACGATTTTAGAGAAGAACAATCTGTATAAAGATCAGAGCACATTTTTCTTCACAATTATTGCCAAAATTGTTACTTTGAGAAGGTAGTGTATTGAAATCGTACCCAATCTTTCTGAAATTATCAAAAAAAGAAACTTGCCTAAAAGCTTTCTTCACTTTTAGGTGTGAAGTTACTCTGGAACAGCCAGAAATTTAAACCTTGCCAATAATCTGACTGTTGTTGTCTGACTTTCCCGCTAACAACTCACATATAATTTCCAACATGAAGCCAATGGTAAATACTGAAAACACTCCTTTGGGGTACCGGCTGCTCACAGCTGGAACAGCAGCATGTGTGGCAGATTTTGTCACTTTTCCCCTGGACACTGCCAAAGTTCGGCTACAGGTAAATTTTTTTTAATTGTCTTTGTGCAAAAAGTAATTGAAATTTGGTTGTCAACTTCATTCAAATTGAATTTATCCAAGTCTTATAGTAATTTTTATTAATAATAATAATACTGAATTTAAGTTTTTAGTTATTTTCAAGTTATTATGTCTATTTGCACTATCATAACTTACCATTAAATAAAGATTAGAAGATCTTGTGTGGGTGTAATTAAAAATTTCCCATTTGTATTAGGACAATTTCAAAAATTGGTAAATTATTGTACTCTTTCAAATTTAAAAAGTTAATTGTTTCATCTATGGACCAATTTTAAAAACTCAAAATTAATGTTTCAGATCCAGGGCGAGGGGCGCCCTCTAGTAACAGTCAGCAATGGCAGTGCTGTCTTGGTACGCACTGCTTCGGCACAATATCAAGGACTTGTGGGCACAATTGTCACAATCACTCGACAAGAAGGCACCAGGTAGGTACTTGTCTCAGCCTGCCCCCCCCCAAACGGCAAGTACTCTTCTTCTCTCTGCCCTACGTTGGATAGCTATCACTGGATCACGGCACCACCCTCTTCTCGTAGACATACATGGTTCTACTTACTGTGGTCACTCATTGCTGATGGAAGTTCTTTGCTGAGTAGGCAATAGCCTTATTTTCTTGGAGTAAGATGACATTAACCTATTCAGTTCAGTTGAGAGCTAAGTTTTGAAGGCAAGAAATGACAAATAAATTGAACAATAACAAAAGGTAATTTAAATTGTTTTGTGTTATTTTATTTTGCACAATGATTTGAAGAAGGGATTCTATGAAAATAATCAAAACATCTGTTGTAGACTTCTGGAATTAAATGATATTCACATGAGCCAATCCATTGGAATGGAATATTATGGTGGAAATCTTCCTTTTTACTTTTCTGCCTTTGTTATAAAATTATTTGCTGTTTATTTATTTACTACTCTGTAAAGTCATTTTTATTTCAATTGTTATTATGTTTCTTTTTTGGATTCTAATCTTCCAATCTTTGATTGGAGAGATATAATTTATTTGTCATCGTTTGTTTTAACCTAAATTAGAAAGGATATCCTTTCAAGTTTTGTAAAACCATCAGCGCAATTAAAAAAATACACCAAGTAAGACTGAATATGAGATTGTCTCTTGAAGGGTTGGTATTAGGTTTGTTGGAGAACAGGTTTTGGATAAGCTCTCATTGCAGGAGCTTGTACAATGGGCTGTCCGCGGGACTCCAGCGGCAGATGTGCTTTGCGTCAGTACGTCTGGGACTCTACGATTCTGTCAAGACGCTCTACCAGCAACTCCTAGATGGTACGCGGCAGGCATCGTGCAGCCGAAAGGGACAATCGCAAGCACATAGAGCGATCCACAAATAATGTCAGTCTTTTGCATCCTGCTCCCTCTAACCCCAGCCTCAATGTTGCAAAGGTGGCATTATTTCTGGGTAATCTCTCACAACAATGTTCTGTGCAATGATTCCTCCCCTCAAAAAATTGTGCAGTCTACTGACATATTAGTTGGTAGTTGATTTTCATGCTCGCAACCTTTTCATTAGGATATTGTAGTTTGCCTTTCATTGCTCCAAATAAATGGAAGGCACATGAAGAAATCTTATTATTTCTAACAAATAGATTTTTCACAAAGCAAATTAATGTTTAGGCAGACAGTAACACAAGTAACAAACAATTAACAGTCATATAACCCTGTAAAGCAACAAACAACTTTTTTATAGGAAAAAATTAGAACGTTTACAAGTCAAAGGGATACTGTAGCTTTCTTCAGTGCACTGCATTGACTGCTAAACTTTATCTCGTAGGTAACTCACGAAGTGGAGCCCTGAATATTGGGGCACGTGTAGCTGCTGGAATCACCACAGGTGCTCTTGCCGTCCTCATTGCACAACCCACTGATGTGGTGAAAGTGCGCCTGCAAGCCCAGCGCCAAGGTTCAGGTGGTGCCCGATACTCATCGACTTTAAATGCATATCGCACAATTGCAACTGAAGAGGGAGCGCGAGGGCTTTGGAGAGGTTTGTAATATTACATTTGACTCAGTAGTGTAACGAAATGAGTGTGGGCCCACCCGCAAAACTTTTATTCAGGGCCCTCTCTATAAAAGTGTATAGCAAACACACCAAATGTACCTTAAATAATTAAAATATCACCTAAAAGTAGGCTCTCTTGTACCTAGACCCGTCTGCATTGTGGGCCCAAATGTTACATCACTGATGTGACTGCAATTGTACAATTTTGCAAGAGAGATAATATGTTTCCTGTTTTTAATATTATGATTTTTTTTCACACAGGTACCTTTCCAAATGTGAGCCGTAATGCCATTGTCAATGTGTCAGAAATTGTATGTTATGACATTATTAAGGACACTTTACTTTACTACAATTTGATGACTGATTCAGTTCCTTGCCATTTTGTATCTGCAGTCATTGCAGGTAAGTAGTATTCAACTAACCAGTGTTTATTTTTCTGCTCTAGTTTTGCTATTAAACATTTTTACTTACTACCCACTTCTTTTGTGGACATCTTTGCATATTGTATATGTTGAGATTTTTACGCATAACTTCTAATAATTGCTGTTCTAATAATTCTGCTTGACATTTTGCTGAAATTCGCTTTTTTCGGTATCAAGTACCCTCAAAACATGGATTTTGGCTACTTCTTGTGTTAAAGGAATTTTTTTCTACATTTAGCAACAGGATTTATCCACTTTTCCTTTACCAGGGCCTGGCACTAGGAATTTTTAGTACATTAAGAGAATAAATTTTATAGTATTTACTACAAAATACTATGAAACAATATCTTAAAATATTTTAAAAAAATTTTGAAAATTATTAAAAATAACAGGAATGATCAGAAGACATTTCACCCTGAAACATTGTGAATATTGTTAAATGAAGAATTATTTGTATAAAAATTAATATGAAAGAAAGCATATCGCACCTCCAATAGAAAAGTAACACAAGTGCGAATTTCTGATTTCTCAGAAATTGCAATTTTAAGTTTTGTAGTTCTGAAATACTCGTTATAGATTGTACCAAATATTCACCTTCTTGCGGACAGTAATTGAACTAATTCAAAATCAACTTCAGAATAGTAGCAGTACCTCTTGGTAACCTCTTATCAGCTTTTAGTTCAAAAATGACGATTTCACACTTGTGTCACTTTTCTATTAGAGGTGCGATATGCAGAGAGTTATTCAATTTTCGTTGAAAATTGTTGGTTAGAAACAACATATACTATTTGAAATATTCACTGGAGAGTTGGTCAGATTCAATGAACAAAGGCAAGTAGAGTGGTGCGGTCAAAAGCAATACCAACATACATTTTGATACTATTTGCTGGAAAATAAACAATCAGATGGAGTCAATGTTGACACTGAGGTAATCTTTCTTCAATTGAAAGGTGCTGAGAACATAAAGAGAGAAATGAGTTTTCAAGAAATAAAAAAGTTATATAGTTCCCTTGTATCAAAAACGATCCTACAACTGATTCAGGATTTAAGACCCTGTGAATTTGAAAAGACTCTTTTAATAATGAAAAATAATATGAATTGAGATATCATCCTCTCAACTTCCCACATCAATGATGGGGGGAAAAATTGGTAGAAAGCTTTTTAAAAAATTAATTGAAACTTGTTCCGCCCAAGAACTTAAAAAATTTCTATTAACAATTCTCTTTCACTCTCAGGTTTCTGCACCACTGTTGTTGCTTCCCCAGTGGATGTAGTTAAAACAAGATACATGAATTCAGCAGAAGGTGAATACAAAGGAGCTATGGACTGTGCCGTAAGGATGCTTTCACAGGAAGGACCTGCAGCTTTCTACAAAGGGTGAATATTATAATGCCCACAGATTGAGACCAGAATAACTTGAACTGTAATCTCTGTGTTTTATTTACTTGAAAAACATCAATTCTCCACTTTCAATATCTTTTACAATTAAAAATTTTTTTTGTATCTCTTTCAATGTTATTACTCCTCATTAACATAGTACAAAACACTCCCGATATTAATTATAAAAGGAAGATTTTCATAAAATGTCATGTTGAATTTTTGTTCTCAGCTTCACTCCGTCCTTTTGCCGTCTCGTCAGCTGGAATATTGTAATGTGGATCACTTACGAACATCTGAAAAAAGTGGTTCAGAACAAAATTAACCACAGCTCTTGAGAAGTTCACCAATAATGGCATTATGTGTAAAAGTATCTGTATATCAGTCACATTGTAAGCTATTATTGTTAATTATTTAGACACATTATTTCATATTATCATAGAGCTTCAGTTTGTAGACGCATTTAGACTTCTTTTTATTTCATTTTAATCTTCAAAAACGATGGGCCAGCTTGGAATGTGATCGTATTGAGCTCTCAATCAGCGCAACAAGCAATCAAGGGCACCTATGTGTTAAGATGGTGTTTCCTAAAGTTTAGGATTTTAATCATTTGTGTAGTTTTTAAAACAAATCTTTTTTCCCCCACTTCATTTTCATCTTAAATTATGAAACATGCAAATCATTATTTTTTTAATGAAGAATCAAAAAAATTGTTGCATTATTGAGTTGTGTTACATCTTGAAATACATTTTCTTTTAATATTTAATATCTTTTCCAAAGTATTCATTAATTTGGAGTGTGTCAGAAATCTCACCACAGTAAATTTTTGCTTCAGGCTGGCTCTATTGAAATCAATGTACACAAGCTCTCAGCACAATTTTCTTTGTATTTCAGAAATGGTTCAATAAAGTAGCAGTACATTTTTTAAAACTCTGCTTAGGAACAATTGTCATGGTCAAAAACTTTGGAGTAAAATACATAAGCAAAATTGGTAAAAATTAGTGCAAGCACAATGTTTTTATCAGAAAATGCAGTGCATTGTGAGCTGTTTTGTAGTAATATCTGTTGAGTATTGGGTAATACTTCTAAAATAGATATCACTTGTAAAGACACATTCTGCACGTTAGTTAGCAGATAAAAAAGTGCTTCCTTTCTGAAGCATAATAAACTGTTGTCAAAATTTTTTAATGCAACTCACCGATACTTTTGAATTACTTTTAATGACTTGAGCAATTGTTCTATTAAGCATTGGGGACTTGAAGATAATGAATTGTGAGAAATGAATTCATAATCTTATATTGTTGTTTAGTGGTTTCCAAACTTTCCCCAGAAATCTACAAAAATTATAACCATTACTCAAAGGTATGACTGAAGAAACTCAATACATTGAATTACATTTTTTTTTATCTGTCCACACACTTATATAAAATTTACTGAGGACATGTGAAACTATTGAAATACAAAAGGTACTACAGTAATAACAAAAATAAAACTTACATTTTTTCATTCATATTATTCTGTATAGTCCAGTAATAAATTACTACAAGTTTGGAAACCACTAATTTTGCTTGATATCGATAAACATATGTATTGTCTAATATATTTATATCACACAATTCATTTCTGAAGTATTTCATTTTCTTCTAGCTTTGCTGGAAAGTCACACAACACAGATCAGTGTTTGGCAATATGATACAAAGACATCACTATCATATCCATAAAATATAAATTTTAGTATTATTTATTTTGTAATATCTATAAGTAAATTTGTGATATGAAGCAATATGAAGAGGAGGATTGATGAAAATAAAATAGGGAATTTTAAGTTATAATATTCTTCAATAACAATAATAACATTGTAAGACTATTATTTTCAGAGTTTTGGGCTTAAGTTTGTAACTTAACATTAGAAATATGTGATATTTTAATATGTAAATTGTATAGTGATATTAGAGTAAGATCAATGACCAATAAAAAATGTTTGATTTTGGAAGTTGATTTTTTGTTTTATTCAGTGTACTAATTGTGTAACACTAGAAACTACTCTAAAATATCACAAAATTATGGAGAGTTAATCCAAAATTTAAAATTTTCAGCTTTTTCTATTTTGGCTGAATTAATGGTACTGAAAATGAATGCAAATACAGTGAAAGAAGAATCAAGACACTTTATGACAAGTTCTTTGTTTTCATTGCTTTATTCAATTGTTCTAATAGTTCATTAGTGAAGGCATGTAATTTTTAATTAACAATAAATTATACCTTACACTAAATATCCACACAAAACAAGAAATTATTCATAAACTGATGATCAATCCCTAGACATGTGGACCTAGTGAAATTGCTTCTTTTATTTTTCCCTCAAGATCAAAATGAAATTAATTAATGATCACATTTTTTACTCATTGAAATATCTAATAGATAAATTTACATTATATGTACCATAAGTGACTTATTATTTTATTTTTTTCTCTTTCCAAATAGCTTCTTACTTTTGACCACTATTATTGTTCAACTTGGTAAATAAGCACTCATTGCACCTCTTTATCAATTGAAAATTGTTATAATGATGCAATTCTTACAATTATTACTGGAAAAGTTTGTTTTTTGCAGAACATGAGCACAACTCGAAACTCAAATATATAGAAACTTATCATGAGACAAGGATGTGTTGCTCCAAGGGATTTAGACCCAAAGGCATATTCTAAGGCTGTTAGAAGTAAAGAAAGATATTTTGTAACACAGTTCTATTTCTTTTTATTTACGTATCTACAAAATTATTTTATTATAAGCTGAAAAATATATTCTTATGCATATGGGTTTGCTTATCTAGCAATTTTTCTGTAGTAAATCTTGCTATCAACATGAACATGTTGGATTTAGGCCTGTTCCTTTTCATTTTTTGTGTTCTCTTAGTCACTTCCATGGTATATTTTATATAATAACAATGATTGTGTACCAATGTTCCACTGTCCCACCACTTGACAAGTCATGATTGATGCTCAATTGCAATCCCTTAGGTTTCTCTCAGAAGCCTCACTTTCTCACTCCAGATTTAACAAACAAAACTAATAGTATTTATTAAATGGTTTGAGAAACACTATATAGGCATCAATTGTCACAATTCTGAACCCAACTGAAGGTATAGCATGCAACACATACAGTATGATGAGCTACAGTGACATGCAAACATCACACGATTGGTGAACGGTAACAACAGGGAAGAGGGTAATAACCATTGGAGAATGGTCATATCTAGGGCTCGGATTCTAATGACATGTCATCTTTGCATTAGTGCGTTGTTGACATAGATAACTTGTAAATGATTGTTTATCATGACATATAGGTGATAGAAATGTAAAGTTATTACATTTTTTTGCCATTTTTCAATTGTTAGGTCATTTTTCCCCCTTTTTTGTTGTAACTGTAACATGAAATTACAATGACTCACTAAAACAAAGTTTGGATTGCATTATCAGTTCATGGCTAAATTAACTACAGCAATTGTCCGTTTTTCAAAATTTGAAAATTACACTTGCCTTTAATAACTTCCTCGATCTTTCAAAACTGATGGACAGTATATTTATTAAACATAATTTTATATAAATAAATTTTATTTAAAAATTATTTATATAAATTATAAAAAATTGAATAAGTAAACATTTTCATACCAATTTTTGATTATTAAAAAAAAATTAGGTGATCTCCTTATTTATAAGTTTTGGCGAATTTTCCCATCTTTTTACAGGTATGTTTAAAAAGTGTTTAGGTCATCAGAATCCGAGTCCTGGTCATATCAATGCCTAACATGAACATATTGCACAGAGCTCACTCGTAAACTTAAAATACTTATTAAGAGTAATTGGCTTGGAGCTGAGCGAATCCAAATAACAATGAAGGAAACAAATAGTAGTGTCTTTCTTTTTGATATTATTTCAAATGAAATGGATTACATCCATAAATATGCACGTTAGTTTTTATTTAATTGAGAATCCACAAAAATGTTTATCTTATTAGTTTTGAAATATTGGAAAATGAGAGAAAAACGAAGTCAACGACATTTTGCCACTAATTAATATTATTGCAAGGAAATACATAATTAAATAAACATTTCAGAGAAATAAGTCTTTCCAAATGAATTTCATCTCAGCTTTATGAACACTTCCTACCTAAAAATGTTACTGGCAATTGATTCTATTTTAAACATTTTATTACTGTACATTATTTTCTCATGACAGTACTTGCATATTAAAAGATACAGAAATTGGTAAATGAATTTCTACTGGAAGGTAAAATCATCATGTAGTCTAATTTACTGATTACATGTGAACTTGATACCCAAAATACAGTCACAAAAATACATATTATACAATGTAAAATCATTCTGAACTTCACATATATATATACAGATTGAGAAATATAAAATCAAAGATAGTTTCTATTAGGGTAAGAAGGGAAATGAAAGATCTCTATATCTAAGATGTAACACGTGACATGAATATATGACTTCAATCTTTTAATAATCGTATGAACACAATTTCATAAATATTTACAAGAAAGCAAATGACCATTCAAAATATCCTTCATAACATTTTATTTTACTAATATTGTATGCTAATTACCACACATCAGTATTTATTTATAAAATGATTCTTGCACTTTAAAAAAAAAAAAGAAGAAGCAAGCACAAATTTTATTACCAATTATTTCACAGACGATTCAGAATTTAATTTTTTCATAAATATGTCTAACTCATCTTCTTCCTCCTCCTCATTTTCATTACCAGTTGGAGTTATGTTACCAGATTTGATTAGTTCAGGGGTCTCGGAATCAAAATACTGTTCCTCTTCATCTTGAGTTCTAACAGCAAGGCACTCATATTCTGGATTGGTATCAACAGTGGTATAATCAAAATCAGTATCCCTCCCTTCCAAAAAACTTTCATACATATTGTTAAAAAATTCTTCGCGGAACATGTATTTTTCTTCATCAGTAACCTTACTTTGAGAAGATGTTTGACAGGACTGGGTTTTCTTCATCTGTTCTGTTCTCTCTCCTTCTGACTCATCAGAAGTATCAAATTCCTCTATATCTTCTTCATTTTCTTCTCTCTGGTTATAAATCTTTCCCTCATTAACAGGTTCATTTTCTTCTACTTCTTCATCACTTGTATCCATTTCTTCTGCTTCTTCATCATCCAGTTGTTGCTTTTTCAGACAATTAACATAATGATCTTCTATCTGACCCATTAAATGCACTACATAACTTCTACTCTGTTTTTTATTTGCATATCGATCTTGTCTTTCCTGAGGAGTAAGGTATTGACCAATTAATTGTTCATACATTAAAGGATTACGTTTTTGCATTTCTTCTTCACTGAAATAGTCTCCTTCTTTTATAAGTTTTTTCAATGCTTCAAATCGTCTGTTGCGCACATCAACTAGATTTTTGGTTTTACTGAGAAACCTTCTCAACTGTTTCACATGGAAATCAACTTCATAATTTTTATTGGTACTATCCAAAGTTGAAAAGTAGTCTAAATGATCTTCTAACAAATAATGGCCAAATTTTGCCAAGAACCGTGCTGGATTGTCTTTAAGAATGTCTCTAGCTATTTCTTTCTTCTCTGAAAAATCCAAGTCTGGATCTCCTACTTGTTGACTTTTAAAAGGAGCCTTCTGACTCTTGGCCAGATGGTTTAACATACTATCAATAAATAAAAAGTCTGCACAAGCACCTGATGGCTGACTCACTATTTCGGGTACATCTGGCTCTTCCGATTTCATCAGAGAAGGCAGATGCTGAACTTTATGCCCATGTACTTCACAGTTAGATGAAGTTTCCTCCAGGTCTGACTGTGGAACATAGGAATTCGATTTCACTATTCCTGGCATTTCACCTGGAATGTCCATGTCAAAATACTAACATACACAGCTGTCAGTGCTTCACTTTTACTGTTAGTTATTACTTTTACTTGCAATTAGAAGGAGCTAATTACATTGAAACACCTTTCATCATTCTCAAACCAATGTGATAATTTCACTTCACAATGGAATGATTTTGTTATTAGATTGATCATTAACTGAACATTTTATCAGACAAATACTCTAATTTATAGCACTTCACATTTTTGAAATGTCAGGATTCCGCAGCACTAGAAAATTAATAGTTCACTGGAAATTATTTAGTACTTCGGTACGAGGTACACACCTGACATGCTCTGAGGCAATGTGTAGAATATGTCACGTATTTTCTTGCCCAGAAAATCCCACAACTACGTCCAGAAATCTGTCAGTTAACCTGTCGCGCCTTCTGCACCATCAACTACTTTTTGTCTCCCTTACTCCTGCAAAATAACTTGATCCATAAATTATATATAACTATTAAATCATCCAAGTACATTCAGTAGAAACGTTTTGTGTTCTTAAACTGTAAAACCATGGAAGGATTTTCATAGAAAAACGTTTAGAATTCAGAATTTGAATTTCGATTATGCTCAGGTACATGGTGGCCAGACACCATGCTCATTGATGCTCATCATTTCTTGTGATTATATTCGATTTCATGTTTACAGCGTCGGTCACCATCGACTCTCTGGAGGACCAATTCGATCCTGATTCGATCTCGCACAGTTTACCTCACAACTAAACTTATCCCTTGACTCACCTGCTCTCTGCTTTAGGGTGTAGTATCACAAATTGTTAGCAGATAGCGCTAAAATTTTTACACTTGTTTCCTCGTATTTCTTGACTCATCAGCACTCCTTTCTCCTGTGTCTTGGTCTTGTGTATTTCTCTCTCTCTCTCTCTCTCTCTCTGTCAACCAGTTTGCGGACCACAACTAACCGCCACTGACCACAACCATACAACTATACAACCAGCACAACCATAGTCTGCTTGAACGACAGGGCCAGGTTCTTCCCTGCTGACATCCTAGAGTAGTCGTTTGTGTTTAAGATTGTTGAAATATTTATAAATATGGAAGCAGAAGGTCAGGAAGAATTTGTTGGCTGTGCCCATTACAAGAGGAAATCTAAATTTGTTGTAAATATTGTGTTATAACCTTTATCAATATATCTATTTTTTTTTATTTTCTGAATTATGCAAGTGTGATTTGACGTATAAGATCGACACCGCGCACTTGATGTAATACTTCTATCAGTGGCATAATACAGTAAAATTCGTAGCTTGTTTATTGTGTATAGTGTTATGATGACAAGTGGTGTAAAGCATATTCTCTTTTCTTGTAGACCCCGTGTTGTAATAAAATATATACGTGTCGGTTTTGCCATGACGAGAATGAAACCCATCCTGTAAATAGAAAAGATGTGACGGAGCTAGTCTGCACTAAATGTGATACCAGACAAAAAGTTCAAGCAGAATGTGAAAACTGTTCCCTACGTTTTGGAAAAGTAAGTATTTTCTTAGAGATGAATTTTGGCATTATTGTTGCACTTTGGATAGATATTGCTGGTATTTTTCCTATCTAAAATGTTTTACTCTTCCAGTATACTTGTTTGGAGTGCAAATTATTTGACGATGAAGAAAAAAATCAGTACCATTGTGAAGGTTGTGGTATTTGTCGTATTGGTGGCAGAGATAGGTTTTTCCACTGTGAGAAGTGCAATATGTGCCTTCCAGTAAAACTGAAGAACAAACATAAGGTATGATGAATTTAAGAAGGGAATAAATAGGATTTCTAATAAATGAAGGCTCTGCTACATTTTTTCTCTAGAAATTCCTGGATAGAATTTGTCGCAGGAGTTTCATGTAGTTTAGTGTACGTCAGTTTGTTTTAAATAAATATCTAGATATAGAAGTTCATCATTTATTAATTACATGTTGAAAGTAGATTGTTTATATGTATTTACCATACAAATAATGTTTTTTATTTTATGAAACTCATGATGCATTATATATTAATTACACTGTGTGTTGTCTGTAAAAATTATGTTGTTGTTTTCAGTGTGTGGAAAACGTTTCACATTCCAATTGCCCTGTGTGCCTTGAAGACATTCACACATCAAGAATTCCATGCCATATACCAGACTGTGGACACCTGCTTCACAGGACTTGCTTTGAAGAACTATTGCAAGCAGGACATTATGCTTGTCCATCATGCCAAACATCACTCTTGGACATGTCTCAGGTGGATATCCAAGTGTCACATGTGTTTCTATCAAGTTTGGTTATCATATCACTTTTAGCATGTTTTTATCTAACATTTTTTGGATAGCCCACTATATGAGACAACTGCTATCATGAAAGGACAATGTTTGTTGCATTAAAATATTAAAAGGTGTTTTGTAAGAGTTATTATTCGTGACAAATAAAAATTTCTTATGAAGTTTTTGTAGTGTTTTGTCACTTTAGTATTTGGACAAGTCATTTAAAGCTATTACCCAAAGTTCATTTACTCAAACACTAAAAGATGTTTTGAGTTTACATGAACTCTATATATTTAATATTTTGAATTTTAGTCTTTTGTTTGAGTTTTAATGTAATGAATTCAAGAACTTCATCAATTCCCATTAATCACTAATTAAGTTGTGAAAGCATTTTGCGCTTTTAATGAAGATTGTTGCAAAACATAAACATCAAAAATATAATTAATTTTTAATTATAATAGAATTTTGCAAGCAAAAAGTATTTCCACTTCACTACAATCTTGGGTTTATTAATTTAACATACAATTTGCAAAACATTTCTATAAATTACGAAAACTCCAGTGAGGTGAACAGTCTTTGTTATGTCCTGAGATTCTTAATTTTTCTTGCAACTTCTCCTTTATCATGCATATTTTATGGACTTAGCAACTGATGAATTTAGACAAATATAATCTATGTTGGAAGCCGCATAGTCATGGAAAACATTACAAATTTTCACATATCCTATCAAAGAATTTACTTTAGAATGCAACAACATTGCACAATTTTCATGTTTCCTTAAATGAAGCAGTTGTTTGAAACAACACAAAAAATGTTATTAAAAATTCCATTCAGTAAAACCAATTAAATTATTTAATTTTATTCAGAAGGTTAAAGATGCTTCTTCTTAATGGTCAATAACTCTATGTAATACAATTTTTGTCTTATGGGAGTAAATGCATTTTTCTGATTATTTCTGAAAAGTTACGAAAAATATAATTATTCTTGCCAAACTTTGGTTTTGAGAGCAGGACATTAAAATTTGTGAAATTAACCCCCATATTTTGCCTTCTGGATAGAATTTTGGAAGTCAAAATGTTCTTATACATGTAGTATGCCCTGCTACCAGCTACAATGCTTTCCTTAATTTCTTCTTTGATCTCATTGTATATGTTTACAATTGTTCCTAGGTATTTACATACTGTAACATTGTCTATTTCGATGTTTGTGTTGCTGCAACTATTTTGAGAACTTTTTTTTTAATTAACTATTAATCCAGCTTTCTCATATTCTTGTTTACGTTGTAGAAATGTCTCTTTTAGACTGGAAATCTTTCTTGCCAATATTAAAATACGATCAGGAAATGCACATACCTGCTGTAAATGTGTGAAAATGTGTTTCGTGTTGAAATATTGCCTCATATATCCAGTGAACTTATTACAGTATCTATCCAAGGCTGAACAATAGGGCAGATAATATGTTGCCCAGTCTTACTTGTGTTCACAAGAAGGCTTTCAGATAAGATATTGTTTATCTGTACTTTTGCTGTTGTGTGGTAAAGAAAGTTTAAAAGAAAAATATATTTGGCTCTGAGAAATGGTTTAAGTTATCATAGATTGCTTTCTTATTGATTGAATCAAAAGCCTGTTTATAATCAATGAAAATGTTGTGTATATCAATATTATATTCATAGCTTTTCTCATATATTTGTACACAATATGTGTATTGTCTGTGGTGGATCTATCAGTTTAAATCTCATTTGGAAATCTCCCATTCTTTTTTCACCTAATTCCATTAATACATTATACAAACATTTTGAGGAGATCTTATTTGCTACATGTAACATTGTAATTCTACGATAGTTTCTGCACCTTTTTGGATCTCCCTTTTGATACATAGGCCTTTGACCAATCTTAAGAATATTTTCTTCTTTCCAAATTTTGACAATTAAGTTGCAATTTTTGTTTCTTAAAATAGCTCCTCTTTTTTAATTAAGCAGCAATATTATCTGGGCTTTTTAGTTTTAATATTTCTTTGTTAATTTCGCTGCAGGTTGAGGGATCAATATTGTTACTATCCTTTTGTAGATCAATATCCTCATTTTTATTTGCTATTTGAGGTCAAAGATTTAGCAGTTCAGGAAAATATGCAACCCACATTTTAGTAATTCTTCCTTCTCAATTATTAAATTCCTTCAGTTTTTAAAGGCCAACATTAGTTTATCTGGTTGATTGATGTAGTTCTTTATATCTTTATAAAAATGTTATTAACTAATATTATCTCTATACTTTTTAAGCTGAATATACAGAAAACTAAACCAGTTTGAAGAAATTTTCTCTGCAATATTGACCACAAGAAACAGACATGTGTTCAAAATTTTAAAAATCATTCAAATTATCATAGTCTACATCAGAAAGTCAATGTTTATGGAACATAACGGGCATTTTTTTATTCTTTTGGGGCATAGACAATCAGAAATGGCATTTTCAGCACAAGGACAAACAAAAAGTTAAAATTTGTTACATAGTGAAATATATTGCTACAGTACTCATTATCATTGGTGATAAAAATTTTAACTTTTCTCTCGTGTGTGACCCTGCTGGCGATAGAGATCTAAATGTTACATCTAACTTAAATAGGTTTACAGAATGTACAGACATAAGTCTGTAAATTTTATAACTTTCGAAAGCTGCATGCATCGAAATAACCTTTAATTGCAACAATTTTCAATAATAGTGACCATATCACTCTTGATTTACTTAAGAAAGTTATAATGATCTCTCTTAATCAGTCGCACAAGTTGCCTGGTTATTTTCCATTTTCTAATTAAACTTGCATTAGCTACAGGAAATTAAAAAAAATATGAATAGGGAAATAATTATGAGCAATTTTAGTTTTTGTCAAAACAATGTGCATACTTATTTTCAGCCACATGCTTTTTCATTCATGAGTAATTGTTTTTGAAACTTAAAAGAGTATGAGCACAATGACAATTTTCTGACTTCTGTATGCTATGCCTGTCTTGTATAGCTATGACTTAGCTATAATTGGAAAGGGTTGTAAATTATTTTCTTATTTACAATCCCTTCTGGCAATTTGTCTTAAATTGCTACTATTCATTATCATTAAATTTTATTGAGTTTTAAGATTAGGTCAAATTATTCATTTTTTCTCCACCCACTCTTGCTCATAATCTGGTACAAAGATTTAATAACTAGATTCCAAATCTTTAATAGAATATGATCTTTTGCCTACCCAGAGTCAAGCAAGTGATTTAAATGTTTCTGTTCCATGCCTAATTGTTTTTTTAGAATAAATATCAACCTTTACTGTCACTTCTCAATATTACCAACCCAATATAGTACTAGATGTGTAAGATTTTTTGCTTTTTTTAATTGTATTTGATTGATAAAAATTAAAATAAAAACATCAAACATTACTAGTGACAGTAAAGATACTTTTTCTCCTCAAGAGAGGTACCTCACTTGCTCCTGTTGTAACTCATGCAATAAGAGTTTACTCTCATAGTGGTTCTTTATCATCTTGTATAATAACTTACTTTTTATATAAATTTTTACTTCAATTACTTTGAGAAGATTGCATATAATTACATCTCTATTATTATCATATTCAGTCGATTGCAGTGAATATCTTGAATGATTAT